TTTTCAGATCCTCGGAGAGTTCTTTGCCATGAGGTACCATGTTGAACTTCCAGTGACCAGTATGAGAGAGTGAGAGCAATAACACCAAATTTAACACACTTGCTCCCCATTCACACCTGAGACCTTGTAATACTAAAGAGTCACATGACACCGGGGAGGGAAAATGGCTAATTGAGCCCAATTTAGTCATTTTCACTTAGGGGTGTACTTACTTTTGTTGACAGCGGTTTAGACATTAATGGTTGTGTGTTGAGTTATTTTGAGGGGACAGCAAATTTACACTGTTATACAAGCGTACACTCACTACTTGCAAACCATGAAGTGCTTCCCCCTCAAGGGAAACCCTCCAGAAACTTAACAGAAGTCTTCTGCATCCCCAGCAGGAAAGACAGCCATCTTGGGGACCTGCAAACAGTGGGGAAAGAGGAACAGCACAATAATCACAAAACTGAGCCTAAACACTGGCTAACTAGGTGATAAGTTACTTCAGCATTGCATTTATATGAGTGTTTCTTTAAGTCCTTAATTGATTTAGCCCCTCCTAGAAAAGCAGTGGGACTGAGAGGTCTCCTTGTAAATAGTCCCAGACCAGCACATCTGGGTGTTAACATAGAATCTGGCAAAGTCTGTAATAAAAGGGATACAAAGGCCTACTAGACTAGGATTGAAAAAAGGGCTTGGCAGTTTTACCATCAGGTTTCCGTGCAGCCACAGAATAACTTCAGTTAGGCCGGCCTGCCTTAACGACTGCTATCTGGTCCCTGTAAATAGCCTTGCCTTTGCTCAACTCTTTTTTGATATTTTAAAAGTGGACACAAGCTTCCTCTAAATGAGGTCCTCTCAACAGTCTGGTGACATGCATGTGGTCCCAGATTAAGTCCTCCTCCCATTGAGCCCTGGACTCCTCAACTGTGTCCATACTTCTTGAGGGACATATGGGTAATCTAGTCTCCACTACAAAACCACCCTCTTCTGTATCTCCCTCTGCAAATGGGAGAAGTGAGGAAGAAACTTTTTGTCACCCTATCCTGGCCACAAACAGAACTGAGGAGAACGGATGACTCACCTCTGCAGATCAGTAGTCTTGGCTTTGGCCTTAGGCAAGGGTGAGGAGAAGAATTTGGGTGGCGGGGCTTGGGTAGGTGTCCCTACAGGATCTTACCTTCAGGAACATCCAGAAGGATCTGGTGTGTAAGAGGATTCTGTCCCATCACCAAATCCAGCTCTTTTGCGGTGCCCCCCTAAGTCCCATTCTTCCTCTGTTTCCTTATAAGACCACCCATCTTGCTCAAGCTCTAAAGGCCAAAACTCTGCCAACATCCTGGGTGACTCCCAATCTATCCCCCCACCGCTGACACTCTCCGCTGGCTCACCTGAGGATTGCGTGTCCTTGCAGCTAGACTACATAAAACTGGACCAGTCAGGGCTGATGGGTGAAGCCTGCTGTCCTGGGGCATCTGCTGCTACCAACAGGGCAGCACTTGTGGGCACTGGTCCTCCGGCACCTTCTTCGGGCAAAGGGTGGATGGCAGTAGGCGACCTTCCTCCTCTGCAAGGGTCCGCCTTAAGAGCAAGGGAGTCGCGGTCCTGGGACTCGACCCTGCTCTGCAATTCAGGCATCAAACTTCCTCCGGCTTTATGATTCTGGCCCTCCGTTCTCTCGGTACACAGTCCCGTTAGCTGGTCCACACTGTATGTGGGGTTAGCCAGATTGCTGGGCAGCAGCTGGTTAAGTGGATCTCTACAGTGCCCACAACTGACTCAGGCTTTGATCAGGGATATTGGCTTCCTGCAATTTAGGACAGTTTTGGCAAAGTCTCTCTGTCCCTCTGACCAGCCCTAGGCTGAAGCATCCACGGTGTCCCAGGTGAACGCCTGTGTCTATCAGGGTGATCTCTGGAATGAGAACTTTTGGGTACAGCAGTAATGAGCCCTCCATCTTACTTCTTCCACGCTGTCTCTCCATGTGGTAGTTGTAGAGGGCGGGATAGGGTTAGGGATGTACAGGATGCTCCAACTAAGAAGGCTCCAACACTTTTAAGGGTGTTCAGCCCCTTGCTAGGCCTTCTGTTGGGGATTGACTAGGACCCCTCAAGAGTGCAACCCTCAGATCCCCCCACTGCCTCTAGGGCCTTCTTCCAAAGCCCTAGAGCAGGGGGAAATTACAGAAGGGCCGGCCTGAAGAACCTCTCAGCTCCTGACCACAATTTGACCTGGCTTTTACACCCAGCTGCAAACTCAGCCTTCCTCACTGACAATAAAAACACTAGCTCCCCCTAGCTAAACTAGAAGGGTGCTACATTAGCAAAAAAAAATAAAAAAAACAGTGGTGAATAAATATCACAAAAAAAAAAATTTTTGTGAAAAAACTGATAAAATTCGCCTGGGCAGGAAAGGGATGAAAGTGTCCAGTGTTGAGGTGGTTAAAACCCATTAAATACATGTAGCTCACTAACCACATATAATAAGCATATCTGTTTTAATGAAAGGTAAATCTGTGAATTGCATTTTTATTTGAATATATTCAATTGATAAAGTACATTAACTGTTAAATGGTAACACTTTGTCCACTCCCTATGGTTTTGCCCTTGTCCTGTATATGTAAAATTGGCATTTATTTATGGACATATTTGACCTATATTTAAATCTGTACGCTTTACAATTTAATTTCCAGGAATGCATTTTGGCTTACCACCAAGACAGGACTTAAATTACTGAAATTTTCATTTCCTGCTTGTCCAGATACCTGCACTTATGTTTCATTGAGGGAATAAGAGAAGGGTTGTTTTACAAGTGTTCTAACATGCAGACAGTTCCTACACCTTAATTTGGGGCATTGTGATTATAATGAGCTCTATTTAAAAGCATTAACTATTGTTTGTATGTGTAAAGTGTACACTAGAAACAAATGCTTCTGAAAGTCTAAGGCTGCAGAAAGGCCATCAAAATGTAAAAGTGAATATTCAAGGGAGAGAATTATTTTTGATTTTTCCTAACGTTGTAAGTCTGATTGGTTTGTATAGGCAATACATACTATCCTTCATAGAAAATCCAAAACTGTATTCTGCAAAAATAAATTTTTTTGTATCTTATTCTACTGATCTGTACTTTACAACAGCCAAACAGAAAAAGAACGACGAGATAATTTAGATCTGCCCTGCCTTCATGCTCTCTACAAGCAGGGTATTGTATAGCTCATGTCTGTAATGGCCTCCAAGTATTACAATTCTCACATTTTTCTGAGATGAAGAGAGGCTTTCTAAAATAACAAATGCAATAATATAAAGGATTAATTAAAGGGTTAGTATTGTACAATACTTTTGGTAGTTAGATAGTAATTTTTTATGGCGGCTCACACATCAGACTAAAAAGTGAGACGACTGAAAAGGAAAAAGAGACTGCACCTACAGATAGATCTGTAGTAACCTTTTACAGCAGGTATACTTCCTAGGCAGTCTGTGCTGCTTTATATGCACCTCAAAAGAATAATATAACCTCAGAATTACTATGAAAAGCAAGTGGTTAGCACTCCTGCCTTGCATCACTAGGCCCCTTGGTTTGAATCCCACACAGTATACTATGTAGCACCCTTCTAGTTATCTAGGGGAGAGCTAGCTGATTATTTTTTTAGTTGGAAGGCTGAGTAGCTGCTTGAACAACAGTTACCTGGGTCAAATTTGGTTCAGGGCTAAGAGGCTCTGCAGATCAGTTCCTTGATACCTCCCCCTGATCTAGAATCTTGGAGAAGATTCTGGAAACAGTGGGCGGGGTTGAATGGGGGCTGGTCTGCACTCTCAGGGGATCCTGGCCAATCCCCAAGCAAGAGGCTTGGCATGGGTCCAGGACAGCCCTTAAGAGTGGTTAAGCCTGCTCAGCAGAAGGAGGGTTCAGGTGGAAGATGTGAGTAAGTTGAGATGCAGAAGCCTGGGATGAGGCCCAGTGGGAATGGGCTGACCTACAGGCAGGGCACTGGAAAGGAGGACCGCTCAGCCTCACTGGCCCCCAGAACGAGAACCAATTGTAGTGCCAGAAAAGGAGCCAGCCCAGCAGAAGGCCTGAAGGCAGCCACCTACCCAATACTACGCGCAGGACTGAGACTGAATGAGTAGTCCTACTCCCCCCCCCCCCGGGCCAGATAAAGGAAAAAGGGCAGTCTGGTGGGAAACCTGCTTAGCTCCTTACCCGGGACTGTTTCGTTTAAAGTGGCAAGTAGAGATGAGCGAATTTTTCAAAAATTCGATTCGGCTGATTCGGCGAATTCTAGGAAGAAATTTGATTCGATGCGAATTAATTCGCTACGAAGTTAACTTATAAAAAGGGTTTCTAGGCTTCAGAGAGCCTTTAAATTAGTGCAGAACACTGTACCTTTAATTTAAATGCCCTTGGAGATGAGGAAGGAGAAGGAGAAGGAGAAGGATGAGAAGAAGGAGAAGGAGAAGGATGAGAAGAAGGAGAAGGATGAGAAGAAGGAGAAGGAGAAAGAATGAGAAGAAGGAGAAGGAGAGAGAAGGAGAAGGAGAAGGAGAGAAGGAGGAGAAGGAGAAGGAGGAGAAGAAATAGAAGGAGAAGGATGAGAAGAAGGAGAAGGAGAAGGATGAGAAGAAGGAGAAGGAGAAGGATGAGAAAGAAGGAGAAGGATGAGAAGAAGGAGAAGGAGAAGGATGAGAAGAAGGAGAAGGATGAGAAGAAGGATGAGAAGAAGGAGAAGGATGAGAAGAAGGATGAGAAGAAGGAGAAGAATGAGAAGAAGGATGAGAAGAAGGAGAAGGATGAGAAGAAGGATGAGAAGAAGGAGAAGGATGAGAAGAAGGAGAAGGATGAGAAGAAGGAGAAGGATGAGAAGAAGGATGAGAAGAAGGAGAAGGATGAGAAGAAGGACAGTTCTGTGACAGTTTCTGTCTATTTCTGACAGTTCTGTGACATTCACTCCATACAGCGGTTTCAACCGCTGTATGGAGGGAATGTCCCAGAACTGTCAGAAATAGTCTATTTCTGACAGTTCTGGGACATTCACTCCATACAGCGGTTGAAACATTGTATCTATTTGTTTCCATAAATGGATCCATTTATGGAAACAAATAGATACAATGTTTCAACCGCTGTATGGAGGGAATGTCCCAGAACTGTCATAAATAGTCTATTTCTGACAGTTCTGGGACATTCCCCATCCATACAGCGGTTGAAACATTGTATCTATTTGTTTTCATAAATGGATCCATTTATGGAAAAAATAGATACAATGTTTCAACCGCTGTATGGATGGAATGTCCCAGAAAGTGAATGTCTGTCAGAAATAGACTATTTATGACAGTTCTGGGACATTCCCTCCATACAGCGGTTTCAACCTACTTCTTCTTCTTCTTCATCCTCATCCTCAGAAGAAGAAGAAGAGGATGAAAATAAGAATAATTCCAAGCCGGCAAAAAGTGTATGTGCAGAGTTCCTCTATTCTGCAGATACACTTAGAGGAGCTCTGCTGATACACTTAGAGGAGCTCTGCAGATACACTTTTTGCCGGCTTGGAATTAATCTTATTTTCATCCTACTTCTTCTTCTTCTTCTTCTTCATCCTCATCCTCAGAAGAAGAAGAAGAAGAGGATGAGGATGATGAGATGAAGAAAGATAGGATGAAAATAAGAATAATTCCAAGCCGGCAAAAAGTGTATGTGCAGAGTTCCTCTATTCTGCAGATACACTTAGAGGAGCTCTGCTGATACACTTAGAGGAGCTCTGCAGATACACTTTTTGCCGGCTTGGAATTAATCTTATTTTCATCCTACTTCTTCTTCATCCTCATCCTCATCCTCAGAAGAGAAGAAGAGGATGAGGATGAAGATGAAGAAGAAGAAGAAGAAGTAGGATGAAAATAAGAATAATTCCAAGCCGGCAAAAAGTGTATGTGCAGAGTTCCTCTATTCTGCAGATACACTTAGAGGAGATCTGCAGATACACTTAGAGGAGCTCTGCAGATACACTTTTTGCCGGCTTGGAATTAATCTTATTTTCATCCTACTTCTTCTTCATCCTCATCCTCATCCTCAGAAGAAGAAGAAGAGGATGAGGATGAGGAGAAGAAGAAGAAGAAGAAGTAGGATGAAAATAAGAATAATTCCAAGCCGGCAGCTCTGCAGATACACTTTTTGCCGGCTTGGAATTAATTCTTATTTTCATCCTACTTCTTCTTCTTCTTCTTCTTCTCCTCATCCTCATCCTATTCTTCTTCTTCTGAGGATGGAGAGATGAAGAAGAAGAAGAAGAAGAAGTAGGATGAAAATAAGAATAATTCCAAGCCGGCAAAAAGTGTATCTGCAGAGCTCCTCGCTCCTCTATGTGTATCTGCAGAATAGAGGAACTCTGCACATACACTTTTTGCCGGCTTGGAATTATTCTTATTTTCATCCTACTTCTTCTTCTTCTTCTTCATCTTCATCCTCATCCTCTTCTTCTTCTTCTGAGGATGAGGATGAGGATGAAGAAGAAGAAGAAGAAGTAGGATGAAAATAAGATTAATTCCAAGCCGGCAAAAAGTGTATCTGCAGAGCTCCTCTAAGTGTATCAGCAGAGCTCCTCTAAGTGTATCTGCAGAATAGAGGAACTCTGCACATACACTTTTTGCCGGCTTGGAATTATTCTTATTTTCATCCTACTTCTTCTTCTTCTTCTTCTTCTTCTTCATCCTCATCCTCTTCTTCTTCTTCTGAGGATGAGGATGAGGATGAAGAAGAAGAAGAAGGATGAAAATAAGATTAATTCCAAGCCTAATAGATACAATGTTTCAACCACTGTACATGTGTTCATTCTGTCAGAGAACTGTCAGAAATAGCGGAGCTCTCTGCAGGGACACTTTTGCCGGCTGATCGGGAAAAATCCGATTCGCGCACCCGAAGTAGGCAAATATTCGGATTCGCCGCGAATCGAATTTTTCCTGAAATTCGTATCGAATTCCGGTTCGCCTGGTTCGATTCGCTCATCTCTAGTGGCAAACACTGGATTTCCTTGCCCAGGGATTCCCTCAGGCAGCTAGTTAAGACGAGGAGGATTATCTGGGGTCTGGGGTGGTACACCAGGAGAGGACACAGAGCTCTCCAAGAAGAGTTTCTACTGTGTAAAGATGTTTACATTGCTAAGACGTTTGGCCTCGGTTTGCAGTTCCAGTGGGCATCCAATACACCCCTTATACCATTTAAGTTTATCACCCCTTAATAAAACATAAGATCAAGCTTAAGGACTGTTTACTGACTCTGAATGCAAGTCTGTAGAAAATGTGTGCTGCCTGGCTGTGCAGGACTATAGGGGGACCCAAATCTTTAGCAACTCCTATGGGGGTAGTGCTACAACTACCTGCATAGAGTTTTCATGTTCTCCCTGTGCCTGTGTGGGCTTCCGCCAATACTCATGATATGTCTAAAATGGCCCTAGTATATGTTCACATGTGAGGTACAGGGGAGGACTGACCATTTGGAAACTCGGGCGCTGGCCAAGGGCCCCGGGTCAGTAGGGGGCCCCATGAGATGCCCCTGGTACCTTTTTCATAGGCTTTTTTGAGTTTGGGCAAGGGCACAGGGGCCCCATGATCCCCTATTGCCCGGGGGCCCCATGAGTTGTCAGTCCGCCCCTGGTGAGGTAGGAATGTCATCTTGCCCCAGCCAATGACAGCACATATGAAGCTCACTGCACAAATTCATCAATGCGAAAAATAACTGAACTCATGTGAATGCACGAGAATAGAGTCATCTCGCCCTAGCCAATGACAGTGGCCAACAATTGAGACCCGGAAACCAGTCAGGAGCCGGCGGGGAGTTCCAGAGCAGTGCATCACTGGATTGAAGGTAGGTATAGTTCCACTTTAAAGGAGAAGTATAGTCAAAGCTTTTTCTGCTATACTACTCCTATGAATCAAAGGAGTGCATTCTTTCTGCACTCCTGTGACCCATTTTCAGCCGATTACAGCCCGAGATCTGCTGACATCACAGAGCCTATGCAGGCTCTAAAAAGATCATATGGTCAGGATCCACCCAGAAGCTTGGACTGGCAGTTGGCTCACCTCTCAGCGATTCGCTGAAAGCCTAAGCCAGCCGCTAGTGCCCCCTCCACAGCCCAGCGGCAGAGTAGAGAGCCAGTAATTGACAATCACTGGTTCTCTGCAGGCTAAAGACTGGCTGAAGGTGGTGTTTAATCACTCAGTTCTCAGTCCTAGAGATGGCAGGTGACACAGGCAGCTGGGATCAGTGCTGCATCCATCTAGATAAGAATGATTGTTTATTTTTTCATATTCCCACGCTTCTCCTTTAACTTTGGTGGTGCAAGCGCAAGTTGTGGAAAGAAAGATTGGGGGCATTGGAAGGTCAATAAATCAACCTGGTTACATATTTGTTTCAAAACCTTAAACTACTTACCTATGGATGCATTTCCCACAACTGCAATATAATTATCTAGGGAAAAATAAAGCAGTATTTACCAATGTCTTTCTGGCAACTGTCTGGCAGGGATTTTCACCTTACTCTGTAAAGAATATTTTAAATTCCTGTTGCGTGTCTGGGAAAGGAAGTGAAGGAAAATCTCCCCAAAGGAACACAGAGTTATAAATAAACTAATGGAATGTAACTAGTTACTGTAGTTCTGTCATATTTTGTAGTAGTGTCAAGAGTACTATTTACATCTTTGCTCTGACAAATAAGAATTTGATATACCTAACAATATCTATAGGCTATTATTATTTTTCACTACTCCATCTTACATATTTTGATAAGCTATACAACAATGGTATTGAACCAATCACATAATACATAATTCAGCTAATATATATTTTAGATTGTAAGCTCCAAAGAGCAGGGCCCTCCTAACCCTCTTGTATTGAACTGTATTGTGGCTGTATTGTCTCCCACTATATTGTAAAGTGCTGAGCAAACTGTTGGCGCTATATAAATCCTGTATAATAATAATAATATGAATAATAATAATAATATATGCCTGCAGTCAAAGGGTTTAAATGCAGACCGTGCATCTATTTATAGTATGTGTTTCTGTGTATTCCGTATTCAGGATAATCTGGTGCAAATCTGCATAGAATCCAATCAGCTTCCAACTTTTATTGCCAAAGCTTTATTGAACAAACTGAAGTTAAAAGCTTATTAGCTACCATGCACAACTGCACCAGATTCTGAGTGCACCCATATAAGTAAATCTACCCCAGAGTGCAGGTTTTAAAGGTTTTTAATAGCCAGAAAAAAAAACTAATAATATTATTTATTGTATTAATTAAAATACCTCATGTTTTTGAGATAAATTCCTAAGAACATAATAAATATAGAGTTACTATATGCATGAGATTCTACCTCAACATTAATAGACTTGAATGCCATCACCAGCCACACACTACTATTAGTGGCTGGTGATGGCATTCAAGTCTGTTATTGTAATACTCATTTTGCTCTATGATGTTATTGATTATAAAACCACTACCAACAATGCATAGTCAAAAACGTTTAAATACTGATTAAAATTCAAATTAAAGGCTATGTTACTTCTACAACCCAGAACTTCTTTACCCCTCAATGGCTCACCCTCCTCAAATATTATTGTCTACATGACCCTCAAGGGAAAAGCGTTCTCTCTGCTATATACCAGTTTGGAGGGTCAGTGCCCAAGTTTCCTATTTTATATGCAACACTGGGAAATACTGTAGATCCTAACAAACACTTTGATTCTCAATAGTGGAGCCAGATCACTATAGCCTACTTGATTCATTGGCTGTTAAAGCCAATTATAAAGTGTTAATGCACTGGTATATGGTGTACTAAAGATTGCCAAAACTTGTTCCTGTGGCTTCTACTCACTGTTTTAGGGGATGTGCTGACACTAGCACATTCCTCCATGTTTGGTGGAACTACCCTAGGTGTGTACCAATTTACATACACAATATTGGGGAACAGTAGCTGAAAGATTAAATGGGAAGCATAACTAAACCTAAAACGTTTTAAAAACTGCTAAACAAACCTTAGCTAAAGCATGAAGACTGGCTACCCCAACAATCCTGTGAGTAAAGCTAAAGATGTCTTGGTACTTAATAAACAAGTAACTTTCTACAATACTACATAATTCTATACATACGTTTTCAAAGGCTCTGGGTGCCATTGATAACGCATGACATGTCTCCTATGACCAAACACTGCTCACAATATAAAGACCTTTGGAATTTGTGGATAGTGAGACCATGTCACCCTGGGCATTATATTGTACTGCCACATTTGTTATGAAATATGCTAGAACCTGCTAGAGGTGGAGAGCTATTTTGCGTATGTGATATTGCCTCCACCAAGCCTGGCCAGAAATTACATCATTAAGAGATTCCTCAAGACCTGGATTGCGATGCTG